TTCTGCTCTGTTTGGCAGTCGGCCTGCAGTTTCACAGCTGTCTGGATCTCCAGAGTTTCCACATCACTGCACCGACTGAGCCAGAAGCATCCAGTCATCCAGCACAAAGTCTGAGCACATAAACCTGCTATGTCTGATCGAAACCAGAAGCTTTTTAAATGTAAACGAAGTATTGAGTTGATAGGTGCAACTTTTAGATAAGCTTTTAATGCAGCAGGTTGATTTCCTTGGTAAAGTGTATTTGAGAAGTGCAGCACAACATCATTGGCTTAACCAATGGTGTGATTTTGGGGTGGGACTGACTGACCGGTGGTAGATGGCAGTCCCATGATTTGTAGTTGTGCGGTGGTGTTTTATTTTTAACATTTATGATGTTAAGTATGTTCAAAGCAAGTTGTAACTTGTTCTTCAAAACAAGTCAAAAAATTTTCTTTAGACTTTTTTTCGAGTAATTTCTAATAGCAGCAAAATTATGTGCAATACCCGCAATCCCATGCTGACAGGCACATACTGTGCTACAATTATAAACTATTATGTGGAGAGATGAAAACAGGTCGCACCACAGTAGCTACTGAAAGGTAAACACAGTGTTTCCAAATGATTAAACTTCAGGATGCCAAAAAAGGCTGAAAATATTTATCCCCAGCACAAATATTACATTGAAAAACAATAGAAATGTCTTCTGTCTACATCTAAATGAACAGTTTAAACAAAGGAGTTCATGTGTAGTTAAGAATAAGGTAATGATAATTTGCCCCTCCAAGTAAAGTCATGGCATTAATATAAATTAACTGGTCATGAGCTCATATTGGTTACAGTTAGCCTTAATTAAAGTTTTAATTAATACATTAGTTAACATGTTCTAATAAGTAATTAAGGTTGCATTATTCACACATGAACTCACGTGACTTAATAAATATTAGACTTAGATTAGTTTATAATAAAGCAATGTTTAGTTTAAATATTAGTACATCGATAATCATGTAATATTCATTGTAAAGTGTTACTGATTTCACTCTTGCCATTATCAAAGTGCTACCAGTTTGACAAACAATGACAACAATGTACTTAAAAATGAAAAAAGGGCAACATAAGATCATTCTGAAAATGTAGCCCTATATACATTTCTGGAGATCATGAATTATGTAGCCAGAAGTACGTATGGCTGCATTTTGTGTTAAAAACGAACGCTATGGGGTTTGACGCCGTTCCTTTTCACATTTACCAGCTGACTGCTTATTTCCATATGGACGGCTTTCCCGCTCTTACCAGTTTGTCCAGTAGCTCGCCTTGTACGTTGGTGGACTTGAGACACAGAAAGCAGTTGACTACAATGAGTCTGGTGAGGAACTGTACTAAAAAGCTGGTAATACAAAAACAGAATTCAAAAATAAAATAAACAAGTAAATAACATGGTGAGAATGTGGTAAAGGCTGAAAACGTGGAAAAAATCAGGCAAGGGCTTTCCTTTTTCTGGATTGCTTTTTAAAACTGTCGGTTGGATTTAGGGAAGTGGGTGTGCGGGTCAATTGATGCTTTTGAAAATACTATTGGTTTGGTTTAGGTAAGGAGGAGGTTGGGTCAGTCGAACGGTCAGTCAGTCATTCAGTCAGTCAAACAGTCAGTTGACAGCGGCCTCTGGTAGATTTACGCAAGAGGAGCAGGCGCGAATGGAACTCGCGAGATAAATTTGAGATCTCAAAAAGCATACAGTACATTGTGTCCTCTGGTGGTTCGCGAAAACATAAACTGCAAAAAAAATTTACTCCTGTAATGTATTTGCCGCTTTCCAGAAATTTATATAGAGGTACGTTTTCAGAATGAGCCTGAGTTGGAAAAGAGTAAACATAACATTGGTCAATTGTCAGCCAACCAATCAAAAATGTATAATTTAAAAGGCTTTAAAAAGATCGGACAATAAATACACATTTTCCTGCATTAAATTTGTGTATAACATCCCTCAGTTCAATGCTTAGGTAATTTTGTCACCAAAATCAGACACAGATTAAATGTGCAAGGCAAGCAGAGCTGAACCAGTTTTCACCTGTGTGACTTTGTGAAATAAACACATGCTTATCTTTCTCTGTTTTGTACAGCATGAATGTGGGCTGTGGGTAAAAACAACTCTTGGGTAAAAGAAAAATCTCTTGGCAAGGCTTTCAAAAAAACATTCTGCTGTCTTTAATTGAACAATGCACTTCATAAACCAGAGTGGTTGTAAATATAGCATGAGCAAAGTTTGCCTGCTCTGTAATCACTGCAGAATACACAAAATGACAGCTGAGCGACACAAGAGGAACGCATTGACTGAAGAGCTGCAGAGGAGTTTCCACGCTTGGAAACTCTTCTTTCTATGGATTGATTTGTAAGTCAGGATTCCGGTTTTTAATCATTTTAGTGTCAATTTAAGCGTGATAAATACTTGAGGCTTTGAAATGTAAATGAGCAGAATCATTGATTGTTATTTGTTTTCCCATTGCAATCTTTGCACAGTGTTTTGAACAGGCATTCAAGGAATTTTTCTGAAACCCCCATGGATGATCTAGGCATGTCTGGGGCTGCTAAAAATGTTACCTCAAGTCAGCAGAAATTATCAATAATCTTTTTATGCAAAAACTTGAAAGCTTAAAAGTGATATCATTATTGTATTTTCTTATATATTTGACCAATTTTACATGACAGCAATGTACTTACAACTGAAAAAAAAGTGAACACAATCATTGGCGTTTTGTCAGTCAACTAATTAAAAACTTCCTCACTTTAACGGCATGGTAACCTTATGGTGGTAACACTTCACAATAAGGTTGTATTAGTTAATGTTAGGTAATGTATTTACTAACATGATCAAACAATGAATGATACATTTATTACAATATGCAGCACAGGTTAATTATGAAAATTTACCTTCGTTTACATTTCTGCAGATTGCAAATTATGTAGCCAGAGCTAAGCATGGCTGCATTTCGTCTTTCAAACGAATCCTACGGGGTGATATGATGCCACAAACTGCTTTTGTTTCTTTTTTGAACTACCAGCTGACTGTTTACCTTAATGTGGATGACTTTTCTGCTGTTACCAGTTTGCCAAGTGACTCGCTGCATATGCCAGCGGACGCAAGACTCAAAGAGAAGTTGACTGCGATGACGAGGTTCGAATCCAGGGAAAAATTATTCCAGAAAACAGGTAAAACAAAACAAAAGGCAAAAACCAAAACTAATAAGATTTGAAACATGGTATAAATCAGGCTTTTCTTCTTTTAGATTGCTATTGAAAATCGTGGGCGAGTCAATCGGTGCTTTTGAAAACACTATCGGTTGGGTTTACAGTAGGTAGTGGGCGGTTTGGGTGGATTGATTGGTCAGATGGTCAGTCAGTCGACAGCGGCCTCTAGTGAACTTACGTGAAAACAGCAGGCGCGAATGGCACTCGTGGCAAATGAAATCTGAGCTCCGAAAAAACAAACACATTCGCGAAAACAAAAACTGCAAAAAAACGTACCTCATGGGGCGTATTTCACACTCTCCAGAAATGTATACAGGGGTACGTATCCATAATGAGCCTAGGTTGACAATATGTATTCATAGTACTAAATGGTAATAACATTTTCTTGCATTTGAAATCAGATACAAAATACTGACACACTCCCTCGTTTACTCACACACTGACTTCCTTTTGGCTTCTTTATCAGGGGTCACCATAGTAGAATGACCACCAGTTACAAAATACATTCAGCCATTTTTGTTATAAAGCCATACATCCTATAACAACAACAAAAACAACAGCTATTTACAGAAAACAACTAGAGCTTTTTAAAGGAACTGTCCACAGGCACAATGATAATAAAATCACATAAAATCATTGTTCTCGTTTCAGCATACCAAAAGCTAAATTCCTTAATTATTATGCTCAAATAAGAGTATAGTTCCTAGCCAAATCAACCTAGAAAATAGCAACTTTTCATTTTCTGTCTTAGTACATGATATAACTACAAAAGAGTCAGGCTTTATATCGTAAAATTACCAAATTTTACTATAAACTATTTGTTTTTAGTGAGATGCTAATGGTCTAATCCAATTAAATGATTTATGCAAAGCTAAAAGCGCTTCCACCAGACCCGGAGATTGGCTGAATGGATCACAAAAGGTTAAAACTCAACTTTTTAACTCTAGGGGGGTCGTAAAATTAACCTATTTCCAAAAAAAGTACAGTGTTGCTTTAAATCTCTGATGTCCTATTAGAAAGACAGCCAGTCAATCCAGTCTTACTCTGGATCAGACTCTGTCAACCCAGTAACTTAGCTTTCTCACACACACGCTCAGGAAACCCAGGGAGCCAGAATCCCGTGGATGTAACGCAAAAGGGAGGAGCACACAGGAAATGAACAGACACAAATATTTGCAGATGGCCGCAGATGGCTGCTTCATATCAATATAGTCATGTTGCACAATAAATATACACAGTGGAACTACAAATATACACGATGACACATTGTCTATCTGCATATTAACTATAGGTATTACATTTGCATCTGGACTGCCAAACAAGCAGGGGAAAGATAGCTGAGCGTTCAGTGGCTGAATTCAGAGGCGAAGCTGTTGGATTCAACAGTTTCCTCCGTGAGTAAATCTCCTCACGCTGGCCTCATTCTCAGTTCCCGCCAGGAACAAGCTAAGACTTTCCCTCTGCACTCTTGGTCTTCTTCAACACCACAGAGAACCACATATAGAGGCACGCAAACCACCAGCCAAATCCGTCACACTCTCATCTGAGAGCGTGAGAGAATGAGAGGGAAAAATAGCATAGAGGGCCATTTTGAGACGTGTGATGTTCCTAAAGATTTCAGGAGTCTTAAAGCTTGCACAGACTCAAAAAGAAGCCATCCACAAAGAAATCTATACATAATGTCAACACCTAAAAGCTTCCCCCCTCCTCCCTTCCTTAGCACAACATGTATTGAGTTCCAGACCACACCCAACTCAAGTTCTGGGCAGTTCAGGATTTTGGAGAGGAGGAGCACACACTTTTTTCCTCATTTCACTACTACTACGTTTACCCTGCAGTCACGCTCACGCTTGCATCACTTTGTCTCCACGTCTGGCTGCCCCCTTTGCAAACTATAAAATATTTGACACTTCAGGCTTCTCCACAGCGGTGAGTGAGAGTCACTAGTAACTTTTTCTCTGCATGCAAATGTTTTTTTTTGGTGAACGATAAAACTCTTAGAGAGGATCACAGGATCTTTGAAGTCTTGAAAATACTGGCTGGAGTAAACAGACGGTTGATTTATTGCCGCCTAAAAGGCTTTATGAATGTGTTGGTGAATTTAAAGGCTTTAAAAACTGAAGGGAGTTTGTGAGGAAAGGGGCGTCGGCGTTGATGCTTCACTGATGAATCACCGGCTTATACTTGTTAGTAGACTTTACTTTAGATGTTTTGTTTACTTAGAATGTTTTCAGCTCTATTTCGAAGCAAGCGGGAGAATGTAGTTTGACTTGTGTTTTTTGCAATGAAAAAATGTTTAAAAGAAAAGAAAAGAAATACTAGATCTCTAGTTAAGTCTTCACTATTTGTTCTCATCTCTGGTGGATGTGGGTTTTTAAATTGTTTAGAGTGAAGTACCACCGACTTTGTTTTTCATATCGCCCCCTGGTGAAAGTATTTCAATGATGGATAAAGTGTTACATGGATGTTTACATAAGTCACGTTGTACCTTAATTATTTACATATTTAGCATATTTGATCACATTTTATTTAAATGTACACTATTAACAAACCATTAAATAAGATTTTAGCTCATTAAACTACTTCTTAATAGTTAGTAAGGCAGTAGTTGGGTTTAGGTAAGGGATGTAAAATACTAAATAAATAATATATAATAATAATAAAAACTATTTTATGTATTTTCATTCATTCATTTTCTTTTTATGGAGGGAATTTTTTTTAAACATATTTCTAAACATAATAGTTTTAATAACTCATTTATAATAACTGATTTATTTTATCTTTGCCATGATGACAGTAAATAATATTTTGTTAAATATTTTTAAAGATATTTCTATACAGCTTAAAGTGACATTTAAAGGCTTAACTGGGTTAATTAGGTTAAATTGGCAGGTTAGGGTAATTAGGCAATGGTTTGTTCTGTAGTCTATCCCCCCAAAAAAGCTTATAAAGGGGCTAATTATTTTAATCTCAAAACGGTTAAAAAATTAAAAATGGCTTTTATATTAGCCGGAAAAAAAAATAATAAAAAATAAAGAAGAAGAAAAAGAGAAAAAATATTATCAGACATACTGTGAAAATTTCCTTGCTCTATTAGACATCATTTGGGAAATATTATATATATATATATATATATAAACAATACAAAAATATATACCAAAAAAAGTGGCATAAGCAATAATGTATTAAAAACTAAATATTTAAATAGGTTCAAATCTAAATTATTAAAAACATTTGTAAAAATGTTCCAGTGAAAAAATGTTCCAGTAAAAAAATTGTAGATGAAATATGTATGTGGGTGAAATGAAAAATGTACAGATGCATATTAAATAGAGGGTGTGTTGTTCTTTGGTTTGCAAAAGCATGCGTTGTTCATGAAGTGGGACTGCAAGATGCTTAGCATTGCTAATTATGCATATGTGTCATTTTATCTCATTCAAATATGTGTGCAATAGAAACAGAGAAAGTTGTCGTGTTTTATATGGTGGCACATTCCAACATGTTGCTTGTGGACAGTTTTGGGGGTGGGGAGTGTGAAGTGTGTTCATGAGGTGCAGTCGTTTTCACTGGACTGGATTTCCGGATGCCCGTCTGCTCTGCTATTACAACACAAACACAGCCGCAGCGAGTGCCATAATTCAGAGTGACCTATCAAAAGCCAAACCGCTCTAGGATAGAATATACACACAAGCCTTTTAAAACACAGTATGATGTATTGTCCGGCCTCCATGCAAACTCATATCCACCGTTATTTGAAGCATATTTATCATCCTACACACAGTTTGTGTACCAATACCCATACATCACCCACAGTACAACTATGTTTGGTGATGGTCAGTTTCACACAAACTCCCCTGTTGAGAGTCTGGATGATTTGGATAAACTGATTGCCTTTTTTTCCATGTATTAGTTTTCCCTGCTGCAAAGATGGAGGGATTTTTCCAGTCTCTTATTGACCAACTGGAGTTTTTTCTCTCTCTCTCTCTCTCTCTCTCTCTCTCTCTCTCTCTCTCTCTCTCTCTCTCTCTTTTGTTTTGTGTCGCTGATTGATTTAGCAGAACTGATGCAACTCAGAAATGTGCTGCTTGCAGGGCTTTCCAGAGAATAGGTGGAGGGTTTTGTTTGCAGATGGGATGTTTTATTAGAATCTATGCTGTCAACGTTTGGATCAGGAAGTGCCTCTCCCTTTGGCCGAGCTTAAGCTCTGGACGCTTTGTGTGTGTGCGTATGTGTTGTATTCACATTAAGGTGACCAAGTGACCAAGCCACAATAATTCTGCCATGGATTATTAGGTGGTGTATTCCTGTCAGTTTTTGTAAGAGACTGAATCTTTTTTATATTTATATATTTGTATATATATTTTATGTTTTGTATTAAATTTATGAACGTTTAAAAAAACTGCAACTTTTGAAATAGTTACTCTTAATTGACTCACTGACTAACTGTTTACCAAAGAGTATAGTTCAAATAGGATTTGAGTTCCCAAAGGCCGTTTACACTGCCAGTTAAAAGTGATGCAATTCCAATTTTTTGCTCATATGGGAGACAGATCAGATCTGTTCTATGACTGTGTAAACACACACACACACACACACAAAAAACGCAGAGATCGTTTTTAGACCTCATATAGTATGTGGAAATAAATCAGATATAAATCGGATATGTGACAATGGGACTATCACGTAAACAGACAGATCGGATTTATTGAGTCATTCCGTTTTGTACGTCACTAAACTTGCGACAATGTGGTACTTCTCCTCGGTTTAATGACATAGAACAGGGGTGGGCAAACTCAGTCCTGGAGGGCCGGTGTCCTGCACAGTTTAGCTCCAGCTCTAATCACACACACCTGCTTATAGATTTCTAGTGGTCTTGAAGACACTGATTAGTTTGTTCAGGTGTGTTTGACTAGTGTTGGAACAAAACTCTGCAGGGACACCGGCCCTCGAGGATCAAGTTTGCCCATCTCTGACATAGAAGGTAGAGCGTGTGTGTGGGTGAAGTCTAAATTGGATGCTCCTCATTAAAGCCCACTACAAGTTGCTCCCACCAGACCTGAGATCTCTCTCTCATACCCACAAATTTCTCTGAATGGTCGAGGACACAATACAGTATATAAACCATAGGCGCAAGCTGCAATGATGGCCATTTCCCTCCTCCTTCGCTTCGCCTCCGCCTCAAAATCATTTTAAAGTTGGGTGAACTTTGCATATTTTGCAGAGCTAAAACCAAGACGCATACGCAACGTCATAAATTATATGGCAAGTGTAAACACATGAATCAGATATGGGTCAAAATTAAAAGAACATGTAAACGCAGGCAAAAAAAAAAAAAAAAGAAAATCAGACGTGGCCTTTGATTCCGTTCAGAATTATTAGGATATTTCAGTTTGAAATTCAATGATTTTAACTATTATTTACTATAGTTTACTATAAACTATTAATTTTAATATGGAGACAAAAAAATAGGTTTTGAAATATTTAAAGAAACATTAAATTATTAAGAGTCCTTTAACCAAAATTTGAAACTGGGTTTACATTAGGTTTTAGCCCAGTGGTTGGTTTAGTCCAAATTTTTTAAATTTGGGTTGAACCAAAGTAATAATTTTTTGTGTAAAAGTGTCAATTTCTTGATCATGTTCTTTTAATAGTTATCCATTTTTATTCTATACTTAATACAATACATAAATTTGTGCATTGATACACTGCATGGGTCAAATATTTGTTTTCTGTGCAAAAAATTTTAAAACATTAAGTAAAGATCATCATATTTAGCAAATGTTCTATATTAAAATTACAATTTTGAATAGTAATACGCATTGCTAAGGATTTTATTAGGACAACTTTAGTTTTTTCTCAATATTATTATTTTTTTTAAACCCTAGAATCTTCAAATAGTTGCATCGTAAAAAAGTTTACATCAATGAAAAACGTATCCAACTTTAAGATAACTTACAAATCTCCATTTATAAAAATACTCTTAAGGTTTTGCAGACCAGGGTCACAATTCACAACTTCATTATTTGACAAAATGTTGAGATTCTACATATTTGGGTTATCGGCATTAAAATAATGTAGGCTTTATTTAGGCACCCTTCTTGTGATTCTCCAAATTACCAAAAAATGTGGTAAATTAATGAAAACTGACAGTAAAAAAACCTTAAGGCATGACAATACAGACACACCCATACCAACAAATTTTTTTCTTGCCAAAAAATGAACCCCATCGTTTCTTTCTCCTCCTTTATAATAGTACGGAATGTGACTGTTTGTTGCTAAACACTGTGTTCTTGCGCTTGAAGCTGGTGTGGGTAAGACTGGTATTTTAGCTAAGAAGTTCTTCATATGCTAACAAACAAGACTTTAAGCTTCAGAAATGTCACCCCTGCGCACACTTGGCTTCCAAAATCCACAGCAACACATGCAAATCATTGTCTCAATCCCCCAAAACATGCAAACACATGACATCCCAGACTCAAAGACTCAGGCTGTGCTTTTACGATTCACACATTTTCCAAACCACTTTGTCTGTGACACAACAGTGACCCTGGATTCCACCAAAGTCACTTTCAGTGTTTTTATTTCTGCAGTTTCTTGAAAACAAATAAAGATTACAAAGCCTCAAGTCGATGGAAATATCTTTAGTGGACTGCGTCATCTTTTCTCTCTCATTTCACAGCATTATGTTGCTGAAAATACTCCAGTAATCTGCTACTGTCTTCAGTTTCATGATTAGATTTTAATTTATTTTGCTGAAGCAATAATGTGAACAAAAGAAAACAGCTGAGAAACAGCTCTCTCTCTATCTTCCTGTCACCCTTTTCTACAATGCTCATAGTACAATGTTGTAAGTTTTATTAAACGTGAAACTACTTGTTAAACAGATGTCCTTAAAGAAGTCTAACATTTTTTTTTTATTTTAGGATTTT